GCCCGAGCTACAGGGGACCGTGGGAGGCCGCGGTTGTTACAAAACCCTTTAAAGGTTGCTGAAACGTGCTCGGAGCAAAGCCTCCCGCCACGCAGCTGGTGTCGACTCAGCCTGTGCCGCCAGTGCCTGGAGGGGTCACCTGAGGAACTTCACCTGGGTTTGTTAAAAGAAGTGCTTCGACAAGCAGAGGGCAAGTGATGTGAAATAATAATAATAATAAACCACAATACCCTTCATTTATCCATTTAAATATTTTCTGGAATTACGGTCTAGGGCCCATTGTCTTTCTCTAATGGACTCTGTTTTATCCAACTAGTGATACTTTGTGGGACCTTGCTATAGCTGAAGTGGAGAAGAGAGAAAACCCTGACGACAATGGCAAGCATGTGGAAGTTTGGGAAAAATCAGTATTATTTATGGGAAGCAAAAACGGGGTAACACTAAATACTGAATGATTCTGTGCTTTTGAACGTAGCTCATGTCAGGAAAAATACTTGATAAGCACGTGGCTCACTTAATTCTTCTAAAGACAAAATATGTCGTGTTCTGATTCTGCAGAGAGTGAGCGTTCCACAGAGTGTGGACCAGTTAGAGACATTATTACAATTCAGAAGTTCAGGTTTATGGTTTGGAGAGTCAAAACTTCAGCTGTGGTTATCAATGATATTGAGGTTTGGCTTCATTAGTTTTTGCAAAAATTAAACTGCCAGAAATAATGCTGCCCTCTTTGATTCTTTGACATGTCAAATTTCCCCTTGTAAATGTTTAACTGGTAACAGTCCAATTTAAGAGCATTGATACCAGTGTTGCTGTAAATAGAGGCCTTGGCATCCTGCTATGAATTGTGATGGTATCAATGCCAGACAGATTTGAACATGCATTATCAGTGATTGCAAGCTCATGATTCTACATGCCCAAGGTTGTTTTACCTCATTGTCCCATAACGTGGGTCATTAGTAATTTCGTATTTTTCTTCTGTTGGCGTTTATTTCAAAAGTAAATAAGGAAATATTTGCCTTTTTGACCAAGTGAGTCATATATTTAAGGATACAATGTTTATTTTAGAAGGATTGGTATATGTGCAACCTCTGATCAGCAATTTTTAAAATACTTTTTTCAAAGAAAATACAGTGACTCTACCCGATTTCAGATTTACATGAAATTCACTGATTTTTTGATATAGGTAAGGGCACAGGAGTAAACTGTAGAAGCGCTAGCCTCTTCAATGTGGCATGTTATTCAGTGTCTGAATTCCAACATTGTAAAGACATTTTTCTGTATGTTTATTTGTATTTAAGCATTCTTTTTATTTCTCTCTCATCAGTAATAATTTAATTCCAGTGGAAACCAAACATTAAATAAATGTATTATTAATCATTAAAAACTGTTTACACAGTTTAACAGAGTTGGCCAGATTGATCACTAATGTCTAGTTTTAAGCAAACTATTCTTATGACTGTATCTGTCATCTTTATTAGTTTATAATACTGGCAGTGTAACTCGATTCTGACAGAAAGTTGGCAGTTAAGTTTCCACTACAAGGCTACAAACAATTATGTGAGTTTGCACTTTTCCAGTACTTTACAACTGGAACGTTAAATGAATGGGTTTCATTTAGCAATACAGCTTTTGTTCTTTAGTGATAGTGCAGTAGGGTTCTTCTTTGTTTTTAATTTCCAGGGAAAGACCACCATTATACTGAGGTGTCTTGAGAGGTATGTGTTAAATTTTTAAAAGTAGTTTTCAACTGTGGATTAGAATTTTACATAAATAGTTATATTGTGTGATAATTCATAATACATGTATACAGATGTTGTCTTCTGTGACTGGTTGATCATTTAAGGATAAACTTGTTTCCCTTCATTACTACCTGTCATCTGACCCCTTCAGTCCTAGAATTAGAGAGCTTAAATGGCCATCTGTTCAGGTTTGTGCTGCTGTTTCTCCCGTCTTTAGCAACTAAGGCCTCTTGTCTTAAAGTGTCCTCTCTGTATTGCTGTTTCTAAGCCGAATTCTGAACTGACTGTTAAATATAATTTAGTAACAGTAGCACTAGCTTTCTTTATTTAGAGGATGTTGGCAAAATGAAGTTATTTTTCCTTGTATAGAGAAGAGATTCCGAAGCCAACATTAGCCTTGGAATATACTTTTGGAAGAAGAGCAAGGAGACACAATACAGTGAGTATCCAGCAAGTATAGTTTACTGTATCTTTATGTATACATATACGCACACACAGAAAAAATGTGTTTTATTTTTATGTATAAGAACCTTAGGGTTTTTAGGTTATTGTTTGTGAAAGATAAAGGGGTTTTTTAATATAATTTCATTAAAATTAGCATAATTCTGTGTTTTAATTTCTAATATGTTTTTCCGTCTCACTAAAATGCAGTAGATAAGAGACCAAAGTGTAACACAAAGCAATCAGATTCATTTGTGAAAACTACCTTGTTTGTTGTGTTTGAATAACATAGGATGCAGGCATTTAACTTTGTCTTTAAATTGAAAATGAGGACAAACAAATGAAGATAGTTTACAGCCATTTTTTGTGAGAGAAGCAGTCATCTTAGAGGATGTTCAGTCATAATTAAATTTTTGGCTTAAGTGTCCATATCACTAAATTTTGCACTGCAGATTATGTTAACAGAAATATTGAACCCATTCCCATCACAGCACAACACTGCCCAGCAGCAATGACTATTGCTGCAGATAATTGCTGCTTCTATTACTGAAGCAGGAGTGGAAAATCTGACTCTGTCTGAAAGACAAAAAACACTTGAAACTTTTCCCAGAAGCTAAATGCAAAGATAGAGATTCATTACTTTACCAGTTGCAGACTTCTCAAAAAGTATTAGTCTTGAGCAGCAATAAACAAAAAGAAAGGGAAGAGAACCTGATTTTTTTTTGTTTTGTGATTAATCATGCTGCTTCCTGACTTTTTTACTTTACTGTAGTCATTTATTAAGACAGTCATAGGTCATACAGTCTTTCATAAGTGTTGCATGGCATTTCTTGAACATGGGGGTTTTTTTGCTTGGTTTTGTTTTTGAAAAATACTAATGAAGTAATATATGCTCTTGTTCTGAGTCACTTTCATGAAAAGCCAGTTTATCAGCTAAAGACCTTCTTTTGGTATTGCAAGGAAGTACACGTTTCTAACATAAAGAAACTCTTTTACAGCCTAAAGATATAGCTCATTTTTGGGAACTAGGTGGTGGAACCTCATTACTGGAACTGATTCGAATACCAATCACTAGCAACAACATAAGGTAAGTGATTAATATTACAATTCCAAAGTTAATTTCAGCTTTCCTTCACACATGAGTAAATGCCTAGACCTTTTATTGTGGAAAACTCTTTCAGTATACAAGTTAGAACATTTATGAATTTTCCTAAAAACTACTGATACTCTGCTTTGACCTTCCTTTTCACAGTTCTCTCCTAGTAAGCCAAGTTCTTAGCAATCTACAACAAGAGAAAGAAACAACATGAAGGAAATGGGTTGGGTAGAGTAGGTAGAGCAAGAAATACAGAAAAAGAGACATAGTATCTTTACGCTCAGTGAAAGAGCAGAAAAAACAGCTTGGGGGCATATGAAAAATAAAATGTGGCTTCCTACTACTATATGCAAACATAGATGCTGTCTCTGTGAGGGGCATCTGATGAGAAGACAACCATACAAGAGAGACGATGTTTCTGAGAGAGACTAAAACTATTGAAGTGATTTGAAGACAAAAGGAAACAGGAATTTAGAAAGAATTAAGAGAATGTAGAGAGAAAAATCCATAAAAGTGATAGAATAGCATAGGAAGAAGAAATGCATGAAGAAGAGTTGCAGGAAAGAAATGAGAAGATGATGGGAGGTGCATTTTATGTTTTTTTCTGATTAAGGAAGATGGAGTTGAAAGTGGAAGGGGAGAATAGGATCCAAAGATATGTTTGGTATTACGATGCATTTCTTTATTTCTTTGGCAGTGAGGTTTTAACTTCTGTGGAAAAAAAACAACAACAAAGGAAGGATAAAATTTTTATCATGTACATTTGCTGCTGTTTTGGCTATTGAGATAATGCTGTTATTTAGTGAGAGACTAAGACAGAAGGGGAAAAAAACTACACTTCTGGCATGTGAAGCTTTTCGTTTCTAGAAGTGTGGGGGAAAAATATCAACTATCATTTTTCAACTATTGCCTAAATGAGCTTAACTGAGCTCCACCTCCATCAGTCTTTTCTTCCTTTTTTACTGATAAGGAAATTTATGTGGATGATCTTAAGATTCTTTGGTGGTATAGCAGCATTATTCTCTAAGACCACATGTGTTCATAAGGCAATATTTTTAACATACTACTCAAAAATTCTACCATTTCACCTTAAATATGAGTGCTTTTCATTGTTTTTCTCATCTGTCTGTAGTGAAGCAGTTTGCTTATTTAAAAGTTCCATGAACTACATCTAGTTTCACCAAGAGACATTTCACCAGATTTTTTTTTTTCCCCCACAGCATTTTAAAGTGAAATTTGACATTTACTGTGCTTTGTAATCTTTTTAATACCACTCGGGTCTGGAATCCTCTTTTTCAAGTCAGGATGGAATGTGAAAGAGTGAGTGCCTCCATTCAAATGGCCACATTTGTGATGTTCTTCTTTACAGTTACACTTTAATGCAGTTAGCGTTTTGGGAGGAGAGGAGCTTATATTGTAAACATTTCTCATCATAATTGACATGGTAGTTGCGAAGTATGTCTTGAGTACTCTGACTTCTGTTCATCTTTCAAGAGACTTTCTCATACGCTCATTTGAGGTTCCAGCCAATTAGCACACTCCATGGCACAGAATATTGAATTTAGCCTTTTTTTTCCATTTCATATTACAAAAGAATAATGAAAGTATAGAACTTTCTAATACACTAATGGTTAGGAAGATCTTAACCATGTGCTGACATTGCTTCACCTGGGACTGTGAAGTTAAGAGATGTCAGGCACAGATGATAGCAGAAGTGCCTAGTCATACGGGAAGAAGGAGCTAAATGGGCTCAGGATGTTTGTGTATTTTACTGCTTTGAAACAAGGTCTCCAGTTTGATGTGTACAATACCCCAAAACCTCTGATGGAAAGTTGCCAAAGTAATAGTTCTGAACAAGAGACAATGGAAAGGTTTCTTCAGAGCTCAGAGTATCATTACAAGAGCCACCCCCCTTTGTTGTCACGTTTAATTCTATCTTCGCATTTGTATTTTTACATTTGTTGCTTTCACCATTTGTACTACAGATATGGTTGTACATGAAAACGTTAATTGTCTCATGCACGAAGTATTTGACCAGACACTGCCTTTCTAATAGGTCACTTGCTGTAGTTCTTGTATTGGATTTGTCCAAACCTAACGAACTCTGGACTACTATGGAGAAACTTCTGCAGGTCACCAGGAACCACGTGAACAAAATTTTAACAAAACTACAAAAGACAAATCCTGAAGTAGCTACTGAAATTAAACAGAGGATGCGGAACAATCTGCAGAGGGATCATCCAGTAAGTTACTTCTAATATTTTCTCCAGATGTCACAGGCCTTTATACAGTTAAAGATAATGCTTTTGAAAATCATAAACAACTCTTTTAGATTTTTATGCATGACTGAAAATCCATTTGATGTAGATGAACCTGTTCACTGGAAAATTATAGCAATTTAATAAAAATTCAATAAGAGCAGAAACAAGGAAAGAAGGTTTCTTATACCTTTTTGTTAGATATCTAATGTGATTGTTATGGCATGTTACACCAATCAAAAGAAATAGTTTTAGAGTAGCAGTTTGCTTTTTTTTCCCCCCTCATCTTTTTAAAATGAAGATGAAAACTAGAATGTACAAAAGTCATCTAGCAAGAGACTAGCTGAAGGTACAAATTTAAGCAAAGAATATAGTTATAACAGCCATCAACATGACTATATACTTTGCATTTATTTAAATGTCTATCACAAACTCAATGCCTTTTGATAATCTGACAACTAATTAAATTATAAAGTTTCAGAAATGTTAACATCAGTCCTTTAAACATAATTGCTAACTAAATCTCTGGAAAAGCTAAACTAGATTATGCGCAATAGAAATGAAAAGTCATTGTGCATTAAACCTCTGCAAATGTTGTGTGTATATAATGCATAAATAAGTATTCAACAATTCAAAGACTTGGCACATAAATCTAGTTACTGTAACTTCTCTAAAATGCTGCAATACAGTAAATGCTCATGTAACTCAAAAATTGAAAAGTAACTTTTAAAATTTTTGAGAAAGCAACATATGCAACACTCAGTAGGTTTAGAGTGTAGAGTTTGAGATCTGCTGGATTTTGATTTCAGTTTTCACTTTTAGAGAAGGTAATCCACAAAAAGAAAACACCTGCAAGCACACTTGCCAATAAGTCATGACCACAGTGTCAAGTTTATATGTAGGGGCTTACATATCAGAAAACTGCAACCTTTCTTTCAATAAGTAAAAAGAGTAATGCCATTAATTGTTAAGAAGAGAAGACTTGTCCTGTAGGGAACACAATTATACCTTCTAAACTAGAATTTCTATTCAGCCTTCAGTATCAAAACAAGGATGCAAACAAAATGTTATGTTACTCCTCGATTCTCTAAAGTTTCATCATTTTTCATTAAAAAATTATGTCAGTTTTGTGGGAGGAAATACTATCTTTTATAGTCAAAAGTAAATGACAGTTTATGCAGATCTTTAATTTGCCTTTTTATATCTAAACATATTTTTATGATAAACAGGAATTGGTGAAGTTCTTAGAGGTTTTTTTAAGGATTAGATATATTCCATTGGCCTGGATTTAGGGTTATTGTCTGAGATGATAAAGCATACCAGTTGCAGACCTTGTATAAAAAGGCTGGATGCACCTACAGTAGTCCATAATCAAAAATTCATTCCATAGTCAAAAGATGAATAGGGATCAATATGCCGGTTTTAATGTTTCTGATGTTATCTCAAATTATTTTTTTTCAGTTAAGAAACTAAAACTTTTTTTTTTTCACTTCTGTATTCTGTGCATCCAGTTTTAAGTTGTGGTAATTTTGCGCAAAGCTTTTGCCTTGACAATGTATGGTGGAGCCGTTATTTTTCGTCTCAAACTAGAGGATTTTCAGTAGGTTGCAGCTTCTTGCGAATATACTGACTGCCATTTAACCCGTGTGTGAAGTAACCAGTTTTAGAAGGGAACAGTTGGGTCACCCTCTGCTACAACACGTCTCTCTTCCACTCTGCTGCAACCAAAGCAGCTTGACTAAATAATTGTGTGAACACAAGGGGATTGTCTTATTTCATATGGCCTACAGGGAAAGCCTTCTAGGTAACTTAAGAATTATTGTAATCTACTTACTAAAACTTTTATTGGAAATTAACTATTTAACGGTTAAATCTACATTCCCAGAGCTGTTTTTGTCCATTGGTATTGATTTGCATTTTCATGGTTGTTAGGTGACATTTCCTCTTTCTGCTGATATCAAACATTTGAAAATCCCGTTAACTGTTTTTTAAGACTTTGGAAAATGTGATGTGGGGAGGACAAACTTAAAAGCTTAATTTTCTTCAGCTTTCATCCATATTACTTTGGATATGATGCAAGGAGGGGGAATGTGTCAAAGAGCCAGTTCTACTAATCCCGTCTGGCAGTTGTTCTGTCAATATACGGGGTTTTTCCTCTCTTCCCTTCATGTTGGAGCTGGAGTATACAGTGTAAGAGGCCTTTTATGCCAGTAAGCGTTCTCACTGCTCACAGGGATTATTTCCTGACCTTTTATGAAGAAAACAAAAGAATTGTAGAATATGGTATGGATATTGCATTAAGGTTTATTCGTCTAACTTAAGATTTTGAAAAAATAGACCTTATCTTCTGCGAATTAATTTTAACCCCTTTCAGTTGTTTTAATGGTTGCAATCTTCTACAGTTTGTTTACACTGCTTAACTGTCACATATCTGTTTAATAGGATTATGAGTTAGTTGACCCTTTTCCAGTACCCTTGGTGATAATTGGAAGCAAATACGATATTTTTCATGTAAGTAATAATTTTTTATTTTTTATTAAAAGATTCTTGGTATAGATTCTGTATAGTAAAATCTTGGTAATATAATAGTAATCATCTCAACAAAAGTACGGCCAGTCAGCCTTCTACCACAAAAAAATCTTTCCATCCAACAGCATTATGGAAGTCATACTGCCATTCCTTTGCAAAATACTCCCAAACTGATGATTTTTGAAATGTACTTGGAAAATGTTGAACTGTAAGTTGCTGCAGACCAGAGAGGGAAGTAAGAAAACATCATGTTGGTGATTTCCTTTTATAATGAGAGAAATCCAGTTCCATGTGTCCCTTCCAACAGCAGCTGTAAATTTATGGCAGTGAAAGAGGGGCGTCTTTTAAGTCAGCTGGTCAGATTTTTTGGTAGTTGTGGCAGCACAAACAGTAAACTATCATTTCAGTCTTGAACTTTTAAGTACTACTAAAGTTTTTAGAGGCAAGTGAATAATTGCATCTTTTAGGGGGGAGAGGAAGGAAATGTCATAGTACTGCTGGATTCTGTCCCAGGACATTAAAAATCCAAACAAATGCATACTCAGTTTTCAAGCAGCACTTATCATGAGAAACTAGAACAGTAGGTTTGATTTTTAACTGCTGTGCTGGCAGCCTGTCCTTCTCTGGGTGACTACATAGTGCATTGATACTTGGCTGACGCTGAGGTACTTAATTGTTTGTGAATAAGGTACTGCGCCTTCTTTCATACTGAGGCTTTATGCTGAGCCATGAGCTCTTTAAAAATTAGTGACTCTTACGTAATAAGCACAGAACAACAGCCTAATTCCATTGGGTCCTATGGACAGACTCCTGTAGGCTTCACTGGGGCCAGGGTTTTGCCCACTTTATCCAGGAAAGGCCAGCTGTATGATCTTACATTAAAGAAACATTGATGAAAAAGTATTTCTATGGACCTTTCAAATCTTTCAGGTATTAGAATTTACAGAGCATATACCCAAAGGTTTACTGAAAATTAAGTATTTTCACAAAAATAAAAAAATCCTTATTCTTTTAGTACGGTGTATTTCTACTTCTAAAATTTAAACCAAAATGAAACAAATTAATTGAAAATTAAATACAGATTCCCAATTAAGAAACTTTTCCTGGACTAATATATTGCCTCAATTGGGCTCCCTCTGTAAAAAAGAAACAAAGGGAAATTGTGACATTTCTTTTCAGAGCAGGCTGTTACTGATTCTGTCTTAAGATATAATTATACTGACAGCTGAAAGCCTCATATATTGCAGCACAAGTGCATTGCAGTTTATACAAAAAATGAAAAGTTCTTGCTGTAGTATTTTGGTTTTTGTTTCTTATGTATATGTTCCAATATCAACTTTTTCAGGAGTTTGACTCTGAAATGAGGAAAATAATAAGCAAGACACTTCGATTTGTTTCACATTATTATGGAGCATCATTAGTGGTGTGTATATTCACTTTCTTAAGAAGGATAGAGAAGATGAACAATGTTTGTGTTACAAAACAATATTTTAAAATATGGAAATGTAAAAGTAGACAAAATTGGATTTAATTGTTTTACAGTAGTTTTCTTCGTGACCTAATCTGTCAAACAGGTTATAGGTATTGGCAGGGGATGGATGGATATACCTTGTGAACAAAAAACTACGTAATACCCAGTATCAGCAAACACTAAATAAAAACAGTTATCTGTTAGCCAGCTCATTTCCTGTATTGAGATTACTGCACATCTGGCAAAATTTTTTTTGGTACAAGAAAGGAGGATGGGGAAAAAGTGATTGCCCTAGGTAGAATTAGAGAACTGGCCTTTTAGGGAGAAGCATGAACTTCCGTCTAGTGACCTGGCTTCGGTAGATTTAAGAACTTAGATCCAAGGGCTTGTCTTCACAGCAGTTTAAGCATAGCAGATTACCACACAATGTTGAATAATAAAGGCAGGGATATTTTTTACAGTAATGATTAAGAACTGCCAACCATGAGCACAATGCGGTATTTATGTGGGTATATAAATTGATTTTGAGTTTGGCAGATCATCTCCTGAGTAAAGGCAAAAACATGTACGCTCAGGTTCACAATCCAAAAAAACTGCCTCTTGGGCTCTCTCTGCATCAGAAGATAGTTCTAATTGTATCAGCCATCATTTATGTAATAAATAATATTTAATAGTGGCTTATTTTGATTACCAAACCACTTATGTTTCCTTTAAATTGTTATAATCACAGCATGTCCTTTTGCATCCATGTAAAATTGTACAGCTTTTGTACTTTGACATGTGAATTCATCTTTCATTAACTGAGAATACAACTGTCTTGATTTAAATTTTTTTTTAAAAAGTATTTAAATGTTATTGTAATTAAAAATTAAGAACTAGGAGCCTAAAACTCTTTGGCTGCTAAATCCTGATTTCCATTGAAATGAGTGGGAGAAACTTAATTTCGCACAGTAAGGATCTGACTTCTTTCTCAAAGTCATGAATCTGTCAGGGTACAACAGCGCTTAGACAGGAATAAGCATGCTGTTTGAGAAGACATTCTGGGAGCTGCTTGCTGATAAATCTGTACCAGTTCTGCCACTATTAAGTTACTTTATGATGCATGAACAATTTTTGTTATTCATTACATTTCTAAATGTTTATGGTATTCTGGATAATTGTTAATGCAGTTTAAAATCTTAGTATATCGTTAGTCGTGGGCAAAGAAATTGTGTCTCAATGTGCATGCTTCAAAAGTTGTAAATCAATATTTTGAAAAGTAAATCAAAGTTTTAAAAAGTTTAAAATCAATATTTTAAAATTTATACTTTAACCTTTATTTATGCTATTTTTCATTTAATCTTTCTTGATCTATAGATTCAGTGACAAATACATTCAGGAAAGGGAGGGTGAGATTTTGATTGTAGTAAACTCAGTGAACATATATTAAATTTATTGAGGACAGGAATTAGCCAGGCTCTGTCTGAAATCCTCTATGCAGATGACATAATGTAATATTTCTATGATGGAAGGTCATAATGTATATTTGTTTTCTGATTCATGTAGTGGCATTTGGCTGCGATAAAAGGTAACATAATTATTGTCAGTAATAAAACAATTAAATGTCTTGCCCACAGTCTAAAAGTACTTAATAGAAATATTTTAATCACCAAGCCATTTTTTTTTTCTTAAATATGATGTCTGAAAGACTCTTGTTTGTGGACTTCTACTCCTGTGTCTCAGCTGCCTATCTCTGCACAGCAATAACTCCTTGGTTTTGACCCCAAAACTGATGGATTAGAAACATGGTCACCACTAGAATTGCATAGATTTTTTTATTTACATGAATTTGTATCCAAAGCCCAGTAAGAGTCTAGTTTTGGGTGGAATAATGTCATTTTTTTGTTGATTGCTAAATGCTCACTTGTAATTTTTTTTTTTTTCTGTTTAGCAAGTCTGTATCAGTGGATCACAGCAAACCTCTGTTTATACCAGCAGGCCTGGACTCGCTGAGCCAAATAGGTTAGCACATTTCCCGTTCATCGTGTTTGTTGCTTAATTGTTTTTGAAAATGAGAACAAGATTTTAAGCAAATAAAAAAATTAAGTTAAATTATAGCTTATCAGTTTTAACAGATTATTTAAGGAAATGGCTTAGAAAGTTTAAAATTACAATTCAGTATTTATATTATTGAGAATTACTTGTGCAGTTTTGTTAGGTACTTTAATAAAGTATCAGGACTTCTTCACATAGTGAAGTACCAACAAGCTTAGATCTAAAAGAAAATGCAATATACTATACCACTCAGCCTGTTTCATGGTAGGAGATCAATGTCTTTTCAAACTTGTTGCAGCTTGTCACTGTAGAAGAAAAAATACTAAATTAGATGGATCATTATCCAAAATGATTTGATAATTTATGTTGCTATGACAACATACTGGTGTTACTTTGTGCTGTGCTGTAATCCTTAGGACCACCACCCGCCTCTGATAGTGATTTTGGAAAGATGCGTGCAAACACACCGTTGGAACTGTGGAAGAAAGTATTTGAGAAAACATTTCCTCCCAAGGTAGGTATTTACGTGTCTGCTGCACAGCTTTTCTCATATAATAGTAGTAATGTCACTACTAATTTTTGTCTTTCAAGTCCAGTGACTGGAATTTCTGTCTGACTTAGCAATCCTGTTTTTTCCAACCTCTTTAATTCATACATTTTTTTAAAGATACAGATTTGTATGTAGTGAGTGGCGCTTTGATTATTAGCTTCGACATCTTCAGTCACCTTCCTACATTTATTAGTAACAAAAGTACTGATGCAACCCTCTGTTTTTTTCCAAAGTGATACCATTGCCTTTTGTTATATTGAAAGACAAGGTGTACTCAGCTTTTCTGGAATTTTTTAAAATGACGTATCCCCTAACGCCTAAACCAAATGACAAGGATGTTCCAAGAGGAGAGCTCTTTATGGCTGGAGCAAGCTGCTGATTCTTCTTCTCCTAGGGCTTGAGGCTTTGCATGAGGCGAGTGTGTTAGAGTTCCTTGCCAAAATCTGTCATTCTGCCACGAGAAGTGTTTGGGTTTGCAAGGTAGTTGGAATCTCTTGTAGTGATAAGTCTTGTACATATTTCAGACATTTCTAGTCCCAAGAGGCAAACCCCCAAATACTTCTTTTCAACAGAACGATTTGTTGTTAGGAAATCAAGATTCTTTTCTATTTGACCTGAGCAAATACAGGCTGCTGCTTTCTCCTCGGGTATTGGACTGTATTACAGTTCTTTATCCCTGTCCGTTTCCTGCCCTACAGCTTATGTGGGAAGGCAAGGAAGTCAGTCAGGGCTATGATAATGTGCCTCAAATTATGGTGCACAAACTGGGCTTTTTCTAATTTTCATTCTGCGATCTCCATTCCTGGTGAGGAGGAGTCTGAATTCACCCTTTCCCACTCACTTGATGGCTACATATCAAAGCCTACAAATTATTTTAGGTGGTTTTTTTACCAGAATAAATTATCACTAAGATGCCATTCTCAGTACAGCTCAACATGATAAAGACTAAACTTTACTTTTCAGAAACTATATAGGACTGTTATTTTTTGTGTAACTTTTGCTCATAGACTTTTAAAACACAATGAACAAGGCTTCCCCAACCCCCTGTGCCATAACGCCCGAACTCCCCCTGAAACAGCTGGAGAAATGAATGCATTTCTCATCTTGCAAGCTCCGTCAGTCTTCTTAGGTATCAGTCTAATTAAAGATTTTCCAAGTAGATTCCCGGTCTTCTGGTTTACTTCCAAAATATGCCTTAAACTTTAAAGCTGTTTTTATGCATTGCGAATTTCTTTTTCCATCACCTCATCTAATAATAATTCTGCTTTATTTTATTCCGTCATCTGTATGATTGACTTCTTGCTACTTTCCATTTGTTATAAGTAAGGGGAAATATGCAGGACAACATTTAAAAAAAAAAAATCTTATTTCATAGTGTTTCTTTTAGTGTATTTGCTTCTTTGGAATTAAACTTCACTTACAGTTCCCTCAAGGTTAGTAAATTAAACTTCAGGTGTGTGGCAAAAAGATAGTAAACAATTTCTCAGACACTAATGCTTCCAGTAACAAGAACTGAATTCTAGTCTTGAGTATTAAGTGCTCTAGCAAGAGCAACCTTAACCCAAATGTCATAGGGCAGAAAGGATATTTTCATTTTGAGGAGAGACTAGTAAACAACTATGAAATAAAAATATTTTCTTTCCTTTAAGATCTGACTGCACTATTACTTTCTCATCATTTTACCGATCTAAGATAATATATAGTATATTTTATCTAATCTGTGTCCTATAGTGCAAAATTCTTCCCTAAATGCAGGATTTTCATACATTTGTATTAAAAGCAAAATACTCCCATTAGATCTACAGAGTGGCATTTTCTTGTTAAACGAACAGGAGATGAATTTTATAATTTGTGTTTTATTATTTCTTCTGTTAGAGCTTCTGCGATTTACAAGATACCAAGGACCCTGCACAGGATTTACGATATGCCGAGTATGAAGTTGATGTCATGAGAGCTCAGAAAAACCAGGTGTGTGGTTGTTCTCCGGTTGCTGTTCACAGTCAGGTGTTCCAGAACCACCGGCACTGCTGAAGTAATTGTGGAATATACTTGGAGTCCCCTTTTTACCTTTAAATAACTTCAACTTTAGTTTTCAACTTAGTAGTTTGGGTTTCAGTTTTTTTCAATTGGTAGACATTGAGCAGGTAGAGCATTGTTCGATCGTAAAGTTTTGGCTCTGTAGTTTCTTTAGAAATGAAAAGCTCAAATTTTCCTTCTAGCTCTCTTCCAGAATTATTTCACTAAAATAATACTGAAGTAAAGCTGTGAAGCTTTCTTGGCAGTAATTTCTTCATTTCTGCACCCCATGCTCTCATTTGCGTGTTGACTAGCAGGAAGTCTAGGAAGCAGTATTGAGGTTTGGGATGGGGGCTGTTTACTTTTTCTTATTTTTGTCTTCCTCCTTGAAAACTTTTTACTTAAACTGGAAAGGTACTGAGATAACATTTCTGACTCAAGTTTGCAGGCTATATACATTGTATCGTAGAGTGAACAGAATTATTCCACATAGTGATATTTGGCTTAACCCATGAATTCCAGGAAAGACCTTAAGTCTTTTATTTTTTCTTCTTAATTTTGAAATGTTTCTGCATTTCCCTACATCTGTGGTGAATTAATTTTATGGAAAAATTCAGTGACAAACTAGACAAAGGTTGGAACATAGCCTTCTAGATACCAGCATATAACATCATGTGGGTAGAAATACTGTATAGAGTCTTCATCAATACCATAGGTATTGGTCTGTTAAAATCGATCCAAGATTTGTGTATTTTTCTTTGTTTGGAACAAGTATCACATACTTATTCTGGAAACTCTCTATTTCATATAGATTCATTTCTTTCACACACAAAAAATTCTGCACTAGAATGACTGCAAAACATTCCACTCTCTTCTCACAGCTTCTATGTGGGCTGTGTGTACACCAGTTAACTTCTTTGTGGACCAAGTTACTGCAGTTAAAGGGTTTTTTCTAACAGTGCTTTGAGATGGTGGATTGTAGCAATCTAGATCTCACGTGCTTTGACAGACCCCTGCTTTCAAGATGAAAGCCAGTTTTACTGAATTGCACTGCAGTTAATCTTGGCTAACCCTAAAATACCGTGGCAAATTTCATCTTTTTTGCATGCTTGTAAAAGAAAGCCAAAAGATAAGGTTATTACTGCTATCACACTTTTGTAGAGTTTAGTTAGATTGCATAAGGCAGTAAACCTGTAGTTACCTGATCCAAAGAAATACATTAATAATGTAAAAGAATAAAGCAATTTCAAGAATCCCGTGCAGTCTTTGAACTTGCACATTACCTGTAATATCCTGTTAATGTAGGCATCAGTTCTGAATTTGTTACATCAAGAGCAGTCTTAGAAATCATTGAAATTTGTAAAGCACGTTACATTATAAATTCCAAAAGCAATCTCATAGTCAGTATATATAGATATCTCAAAATAACTGTATGGTGTACTAGGTTTGTTATTTTTAGATAATATGTCTTGCAAAAGATGATACTGGTATGCATTGATTAAATCATATAGGAAATTATTAATTTTCTGTTTTTAAACAAGAGACAGGCTTTTAGAATCTTAATCTGTTCAAGAGCATTGCAAACCAGTGTAGCTTCTTTTAGTTGGACTACTACAAGTAATTTGAGCATTAAAGAGAAAATTACTTCTGTTATCTGCAGCTATTTCCTAAACTTCTCTATCGTGAAGTTCAATTATTACAAGATTATTTGCACATTATTAAAATGTTTTATACTCCAAGAATTTCATTCAATTTGAAATGCACCAAGATAGCAATATACATCTAAAAGAAAAGAACTCTGTAGTTACAGTGATTCTTGAAGTGTCTTCGGATTTCCCAGTTATAGGAAAAGCAGCACAAAAATCCTATTTTTAAAGCAACATTTTAAATGCATCATAAGTCTGACATTCTTTATAGAGTCTCATGATATCTGTTGTGCAGGAGGAACAGTATATTAAGATGTTTAATATGCAACATGTTGCTAATGAAATTATGGGACATAATGCAAAATGAAAGTTTCATATGACAGTGTGTATTTTAAAATCATTTAAGTGCATGTTAGCATTTTTGTGGGTTACTCTCGGTTAATTAATATGCCACTTTGGACTCTAGGTGATAATCAGTTTGCTTGTTTATCTCAAAGATAAGCTTTAAAGGAAAAGGAAACACAAAAACATAGCAACAGTAACAATGTATAGCCCCAGACTGCTCAATGATACTGTAATAGATTTATAGATGATAACTGTGGCAATGCAAAGTTTAATTAAATCAATTCCAACTTCGAAAGCTTGGTTGAAGGGTTTGTCTGCAGCTAGGCTTTGTACACTCTAGCAGAGTAAAAGGTTAAATTCTTCAGTATAAAATTAGAAAACAGTTTAAAAAAAAAGTACAGAAACAAGAAAGTACCTGGCTTGCTCCCACGTACTAGCTGTCAGCTAGTATTTATCTGATAATGCTTTTTGCCTGTGGAAGTTAAGAGTCCAGTGCTTCAGCACTCTGTCACAAGGGTGTTTTCTTTTAGACAAGACCTACCACTCCATTCCTAGGCCTTTTTGCTCTGGAAAACTCTCGGAGGCTATCTGTTCCTCACTGTGCCTGTGTTCAACAAGATAGAGCACATCCCTCTTTCTCAACCGTGTCCTTTCAGAATTCTTTTCCTAGTTCTTACCCCACAGACGTACCACGTGCAGGTTTGTATCAAATAGTGCTGTTGCAATTGTTTACTGCCTTTTCATTCTCTGGAGTTAAGCTCCGAGAGAGAGAATAGAGCACCAGGGACCTTCTTGGAATTTACATTTTTGATGTCTTTCTTAACTAGCAGATTCCCTCCAGCAATGACTGGAATTTTGTGCTCTTTGCAGGGCTTTCAAGATTCAAGAAAAAGATTCATTTTGCATATTTATCAGGCCTTAAACATGTAGCTTGCTGGTAATTCTTCATACAGCCCACATAAAACATAAACAGTATGGCAAATCTGTCATCCATTTCTCTCCATTCTCTGCTAGCTTTTTGGCTTTTGATGCTTTAAGGTCACCTTAATTTCATTTGAGGTACACATGTAACTTGAATAAGAGTGAGATCTTTTAAAATAGTAGTGTCGATTAGAGCTGCACGAATACCACCTGCATCTGTGAGCACCTAGGAGTGTGTCAAGGTCTTGTTCCTTAGTTCCTTCGAAATGTTTGTGGCAGTGAGCTTGCACACGGGGATGTCTTCTCCGTTCCCTTTAGAAATGCTCTCTGCCACAGAGGTAAGGGCGATGTCTTTTCGAAGGTTTTTGTTTGCTTCAGGTCTTAGCTATCCTGTTATGCCTTGTACTGCTAATACTCAGGTGCTTGGACCTTTTTCATCTGGACATTTGACTGCGGCTTCAATCATTGAAGCAAATGATAAAGCTGACCTTGGGCTCCGACAGTTGGATAGCCTCCCAGCCAGGTGCTTAAGAAGTCAGCGTCATGCAATGCCAAAGTTCACACTGCCTGGTCCTTGTTACACAAAGGTATTACTTTAGGGATTGGTGCCAGTTTTAGCTGAAGCCTAATTCCATAAAGTATACTAAATAAAAAAGACCCCCCCAAAAAAAAAAGTAGATGCCTGGTGCCATTTGGCATCAGGTAATGAGCAGCATTGTAAGCAGATCTCAACGAACAGGGCTGTAAATGTTAAGCCTTTAGCAAGTCATAAACAGAAGGAGGGGAGGTTCTATAACATCTCGCAAGGAAGTGTAGTCCTATTTCCCCTAAAATAGGACTGACCTAATTAACCATGTCATTCACAACTAAAAGTCATCTCGGTGCCAGATCTGCAGCTGTCTGATTGAGATTGGGACTGTGTTGGCCAACAGAACGGGCACCATGTTTTTTCAGCGTGCTTCGCTGACATGACCATATTGCAGAACTTCAGGAGATGATTTCAGTCTCGTTTAGCAGGACAGAAGATCACATATTTGAACCTCTGTGGTCAGGCCAGTGTTACAGGGGAGAGAAGTGTCACAGGCACCCACCTTAACATGGGTAACAGAGCAGCGGCATCTTCCGTTTTCATCAGAGGAGAAGTGCTAGTCTTCATATGGTGGAGAAAAAGTTATTTAGGATGTTTCCTCAGTTGCCAAGAATAAGCCTTCTCATTTTCACATGAAAGCATGCCCAAATGAGTACAAAAGACTTTTGTGGTTTTGTTTTTTTTTAACCAATTTAAAAGAGCATTATTAGAGCACTGTTATTAAATTTCCTACTGAAGTTCAGGTACTTAAGATTTTTAATCCTTGTTTCAGTACTGGGTTATTTTCATCGTGTGCCACATTGAGGGCACTTTCAGTAAGAAACTACATGAAAAAGAAAGTTAAAGTGATGTCAGTCCCTCAGAACTGAGGAAATGCAACAATTAAGGCTTTTCTTACAATCTTAATTTTTCTTCCTTGTTTGTAGATGTTATAGTATTGTCTTTAATTACATGATCATATACTATTTTGCTGATGTTTCAGTTCAATTGTTCAGTATTTCTTTTCATCATCCTTATTCTTTGTGTACCTTATTTCTCAACCTGCCATTCAGACACTTCAATGAACACAAAAGTATTAATTTTTTTCTCTGAGAATGTGTGGTAATGTTATCTTATCTGAGCGCCTCACAAACATCAGTTAAGTCTTTCTTCCCAGTCCCTTTATGAGATTGGATGTGATCTTCCCCATTTGACAGATGAAGAATTTATAGAAACACGGAAGTACAGAAGCATTAAGGTTAAAAAAAAAAAAAATTAAAAATCCACTTTATGTCAGTGTTGAGACATCTAGGATAAGTTGCTAGCACTAGTAACGTTTAAAACACTCGGAGTACATTGAAAGCATATTTAAATTGCAGTTGTTAATTCTTTGTCAGTCTGATCTGTGCCCCCTACACGTGGTACCCAGAAAACAAAGGAAGCATAATGCTAGCATGAACTTTTGGGTGTACTTTGAGATATATTCTGTCGTAGGATCTTCTTTCAGTTTGGAGAGAGGACCTCTTAGCTGATTGAATAGTTACAGAATTCTGCTTATGTTTGTAGTACAGGACTTTATGAGCAGGAAGTTGCCCTTTTTCAGAAGGGTCTCTGGAGTGATCTTTGAGCTGTGTTTGAAAGATTTTTCCATTACGTTTCTGAATTGCAGGGATTTATTTGACTTTCTGTTTTACATGAAAAATAAGGAAGTGTACTTTCCTGACAGCATTTTTCCTCCTGAATCACTGAATTTGTAATTTTTGTAAATATCCTCCCATTTAATCTCATTTTTTTTCTTTCATTTCCCATTGTTTAAATGTTAGTCTTACCCAGATATGTCTCCAAAATAAATATTTATAATTTTGTTCTGTAATTCTATATGTAGTGGAATAGCTGTAACTTCTAATATATGCTGTGGTTTTGATACTTTGCATTTCCATATTGTTTTGAATTGCCTTTCCACTGAATTGCCTTCTAGCTAGCTGAAATTACAGCAAAATAAATTCTGCTAAATTATCTGCCTTTTTCTTGAAACAGTTCAGTCAGATGATAAATCTGTATGGCTAATTATTTAGGCAACACCTGTAGACATGGCCCCCAGACAGCATTGCCATTATATGTAAAACTTCGTTGTTTAATTTTACCCCTTCCTGTAGCCTTTGAGAAAGTTGTTAGAATTGAATTTATTTATTTTGCATAAATCAGGTTACGTGTGCTCCTTAAAATATCACAATATTCTTTCTGTTCCTAACTGTTCACAAGTTTCCAACAGTTCAGTATGTTCCAAGATATAATTACTTTATATTAATAATGAGGGAGTGAAAATACTGAGGAAAGACTGGCTTAGAGACAAAACAGTTCAATAGTACTAGAGTTGTATTTAATCATGCAGCTTCCTAGATTTAGACTAGAAACAACATATTCTGTCAGTCATCTGTGAGTTACTTAACTGCAAAACTAGACTCCTGCAAGCGTCATGAAAAATATGCACTAACTACAGATCCTCTTATTGCTCATAAACCTGTAGTGCTTTCTGAAAATTTTGCACTGCTGGCAAAGCTGCTGAAGTGATTTCCTGAGAGAGAAAATTCTATTTATTGTTTCGATACAATTTTTAGATGAGGATTTCTTTGTTGCCGTGCCCTTTATTCTTCCTCCCTCTGTGCTCTGGATTGAGAATTAATACTTCTGTTAAATTCACTAAGTGTCAATTTTGTTATTTTTGTCCGTTCTCGTATCTGTACCTGCAGTGAAGCCTCCCTTACTCTGTAAATCCATTCTATTAAAATCAGAATAGCAGTCTTATAAAACACAAGCCCACTTTTGAGAGTCTTTGCTGCCTTTATGCTAATCCCTTGTTTACATCCATCTCTTTTCCTGGTCTAAGTAAGATGCGATGACTTCTTTTGTATTGCAAGCAGTACGTGGTTAGGTTTAAGAGGACCTCATTAGAGAATCATCTTCCTGCAAATACACTGGAAGCCTTCTTATTCTTAAATGAATGAAAAGCAGGCATAGTGCTTTCAAAATTAATGTTTGCTGAAAAGAATTTTCAGAAATAATTCCTGATGGTGTGCACCACTACATAAAATTCAGAAGATGAAGCTGTTGTGTGGTAGTGTCGCTAGAACCTTTTATTATTGTCTTCAGAATTCCCACTAGCACTTTTGACTGCAATGAGGTCGTTTGTCTGCCATGCTGGTACGCTACCTGATGTCAAGTACAGCATAATGTAGATTGGCTCATCTTTCATACTTAATTCGCTTTACTTACACCTCCACAATTTGAGCCTCTCTTTGCTTTTAATAATCTAATTGCTGTCTAGAAGATGTATAATTTTAATTACCACATTGGGTTTGCATTTTGTTTTTACTCACTGATGCTGACTTTTAAATCTGCTGAACACTAGCACCTGAAAGAATATTTGGCTACTAACTGAAAAGCAAAACAGAACAAAACTAAAACCATGGCACCATGGTCTTCGTGAGTAATACGCTTCCTGAAAAACCTCAAGCATTGATGGATAACATTTCCACAAATATGCAGTACCATAGAGTGAATAGAGGCAGTACGTCGATTTCCTGAACACCCATTGCATTCCTCTAGAAGAGGTTTCTGCTTACTGCTTTCTGGACAAGCCTGTGTTCTGCAGGGGTTTCCAGGATCCACTGGTAGCTCTCTAAATCATCACCACTGGTGATGTATAAGTTTACAGACGTTCATTTCAGTCTTGAGCTTAAAAAAATGAAAGAAAGAAAGTAGGCTTTGTTTTTCTAGTTTCCTTTGCGCAATCTTAAGGAATTACCAATCCGTTTGGCTTCTGACTTCATGTGCGTGAAACAGCAGTTTCTGCTGGGTAATTCTGATCTCTGCTTTTAAAACGTGGGTAGTATTACAATTCTGTATGTTCGTAGGGAGCCTGGTTTCTCAAACTTGAGTGTCTAAAACCCCAACCAAAATTTCTTCTACCCTAGAAAGGAAGTATCTAGGCCTAAATAAATAAATAAAATCTAGTTCCCTATGTGAAAGCAAATGTGGCAAAAGCTATAGCACCTTTCATATAATTTTGTTAAAAATAAAAAAACATACATTTTTTCTACAGTGAAAAGTATTTGTACGTGCTTTAAACGTTTAGGTGGCTAATGTATGTGTCTTACTGCTTTTAATAATGAGGAGATGAGATTAATATGTATGTATGTTTCTGTTTTAGGAACTTGAACAATACAGAAGAAATGCCTCTAAATCCTGGAAAGAAATGGATTTTGACCCCGACTGATGAACTGCTATAGGTGTCTTCAGTTTCACAAAATTACTTTAATCACTTCAACATTACAATAGCAACCTAATCTGATGCAGTTGAAAATATACCATATCAAACTACAAACCTAATATTTATTAAGGATTCCTGTTATTATTTTTAATAAAAATAGATGCTTATTCGTTCAGTCCACATTTAAGTATATCTTGGTACTGAACACAGAATTTTAAAAAATGTGGAGAAAGACCTTTTAGACTGTTCAGAAAGAGGTTTGAATATGAGGACTGGCATTAGTCAGTTCTACCTATTTTATAATTCATAACGCGACATTTGGTTTATTTTTTAATGCTTCTGCCCTAATCATGTCTTTAAATATAAACAAGTTTTCACACCCAAAATAAGCAACTGCATAGTGAAAAATGCTAGGCATTCCTTTCCTAGTTCCTTGCATATATCATTCAAAAGCAAAGCTTACGAAAATATTTGCGTCATTGTTTAATGTATTTGAATGGGATAGTTCCACAAGAACTGGCAGAATGAAGTGGAATTAAAACCAGGTTTGACCTGATCTAAAATTCAGAAGTTTGCTTTATCTCTGTTTCAGTATCACCCAGTTGAATACAGGAATTATTTCTTGCAGTGTATAATGTTGCAATAACTTTGCACAGAATTCAGAAGATGACATTTCTGTCAAATATTCAGATGCTAGGAAGTCAGTCTAATCCGTTTGACAGCTGCTTGGTTGATGGTGGAAGTATAATTGATTCACATGCAGCCTAAGCTGGTGAAACGCTAGGCGAAACTAGATACGGCTTTTTGTCTGTGGCCATCCTCACTATTGAGAGACGGCCTGAGTGTTTTGAGAATACGCAAGACAAGATCTCAACTAAAGCCAGAGGCGTCTCTTGAGAGCTAAGACTTGTTGTTAGAGAATAAATCTCTGAACAGTCACTTGGCGGGCGAGACTGTAAGAATGTTCCCTGATGAACAACCCTACACGTGCGTAAAAATGGGAAAGACAAACTAAACTGGTATCTTCCCAGCTCTTTAAAGTTATTTGTTATCTGTAACATAGATGTTAATCAAATGTTTTTCTGATATACCACTTGTATCTTAGAATATTATACATAAAGATATTAGAAAAAAAATCCTGGCCTCACACTTAGTGGAGAACTTGCATTAACCTGAGGATTTCAAATTCTTTATTACAAAGTGCATCATCTCAAAACTATCACATTAAACTAGTTATATTGTTATGGAATTTTAATATACTTACCTCCTCAAAGACATTTCTAGCTATCCCTCTGTAATAAATAATTTCTCCACTGAACATGCAAAGTTACAAAATTTAGGAATTCTGTGTGTGTTAGGCTTTCAATTTTGAGAGGTACTTCAATTGAGTAAGTGGATAAATTAGACTCTTTGGCATGTTAGTGAACCCATGAGAATAATTTCCAAAGATGCAAATTACATTGCTTCCAAGAACTGGCAAAAAACTTTTAGATTTTTTTTTCCCTAGCCAAATTGACATTTTATTAACAAACAAAAATTTGTTCTAGTAATTCACAAACCACTTCCAAGACAAGATTTAGAACTTGATAATGAAAAGAAGGAACAGATACAAATAACAATTGTCTTCTCTGATTTACCATCATTTGCAAGACAAAAACATGTTGGGTAACTTTTGTATTGCTTAAAGATCCTGTACTCATTGATTGTAGAGTATGCAGAAGATTAAAGTGGAGTGATTTCTTCATTCTGTCTTTACTTACATGTTTGTTGCGTTTCTACAAATCCCCAAAACAGTATCAAAAAAAAAAGCATAGGAATTAAAATACAAGATTTACTAGTAATTATACCTCTGTGCTTATTGATAATGGTTAAAAAACAAAATAGGGTGGAAAAAATTAGAGCGCCATTGATACGTTGTTAAAAATTGACAGCAACAGCTGACTAAATGGAATTCAAGAAGTCCTTTAAAACATGCAATGCTGTTGATTAGGGCTGATTTGGGAGCAGGGTGGGAATGCCGGCAGCAGGAAGCCATTCATACTCTTAAGAGAACATTGTTTTTCAAATGGAAAACGTCCAGTGAAAAACCACCATGAGAAGATGAATGTGTTTCTCTATGTATAATCACTTAAATTCTATCTGAAATCCATCAACTTAAGCCTTCATCCATGATCAGGTTAAAAGCATATTATTAGACATTGTTAGCACTGCTACTTTTTTATTGCCTGCTGCTAGTTCTCTCTCTTATTTTGAAGCTCAGAATTGCTATAATGGCAAGTCCTGGGAGAAAAGCATAGAGTATTAAGAAATCGATTGTGAACCGGGACAATGCACCAGGGAAGTTTTTTTCAATGAACTGAGTGCCACGAGAGAAAGTACATGCAGCGTCAGTTGCTGTGGAACTGTTGGCTCCACCTGTCAAAAGAAAAAATTTGTTTCTTCAGTAGATGAATCAGTAAAACTAAAACTGAGGCTTCAGTATCTAGCATGTAATATACCTATCCCTAACGCTATTTTGATGATGAACAATACCCACAGCAATAGTTCCCATCATTCTGGAAGAAGAACAGACAAGCCATATGTTTCTGCAGTTAATCTATGCCACATTTTTTGAAGGGAAGAATAAAGGGTCACTAGGAGCTTCCTGGGTTTTTTTCATGCCAAACGAAAGAAGAGCTATGGCTTTTCAGACACAGTGGAGGGGCCTCAAGAAGCGAGTTGCCCCATGTGGTAGCCTTACAGTGTTCATACTTGTTGAGTGCTTCCAAAATACAAGAAATGGAGACTGTCTGAGGGGCACATTAAAAATCAGCTGTTTAGTGTTACTACCAAAGTCATGGATTCTTCTTCTAACATCTGCCATCTATGCTCGTGTCATAGCGAAGGACAGGAGAGATTAATGGATGAGGAATGTATAGCCTTGGAGAGGAGCACAGACCCTGGCTACAGAGCCCAGAATACCTTAGGGTAGGTCCAAAGCTGTAAGTTTCACCCCCATTGGTGGATGTTACCTCCTACCCCTGCCAACCTGACGGATTCTAACGCTGACAGCCTGGCAGGTCCAAGCTGCTCGAGGTGTGCCATGGTGACCTGTCTGAACCGAAACCTCACTGCTATGAGAAGGAACGTCCGGTGCAGTGCTACCTGTCAGTGCTCCCTGGGCTGACGTTACCCCGCGCAGTTCTATCGCTCTCCTATTTGTGTAACACTGCGCTGATGAGCACAGACCAGGCTGCAGAGCTGAATTTCCAAAATGCCCCCAAAGCAGCGATAAAAGAGCAGGTGAAGAAGAGAAAGATGAAAAACTGAAAGAATGAGAAATAGTTGAAAAAGGGGAGTCAAACTTTTGTCTCGCTTGCTGATCCGGTGTTATAATACATCTTTCCTAATTAAGACACTCCTTTTAAGAAGTTGTCTTTAACTTATCAAGATACTTTTATTATATCTAGAAGGAAAATAAGCATCGACATCTCATCGAAATGATTTACAATGGATTTAAAGGCCTTTTGGGGGTTTTTTTGAACACTTACCACATGTGAAGTTTAAGCCATAAAATTCATTGACTACAAGAACCTCACTGCTGTATTTTTGAAAGGTAAGATAACTGAGTATTTTAAAAGGTGTCGGCATTTCTTCGATGGTCCTTAAAGAAACAGAGAAGTTAAATTGGCTTTTGCTACATTCCAAGAACCAGTTCTACCCCGAATTAAAACGAGCTCTCATCTTTGGTGATAGCCTGTTGCAGAAACAGTTCTTGGCTGTGCATGTAGGGTTTTCAAGCATAAAGTCCATTTCAGTGCTAAATGAGGAGAGGACCATGAAGGCTGTCTCTGACTTTGGTACAGTGTCACAACACTCAGCCCTGACTTGTTTATGGACAGTCACAAATAATTCTATGAAGTTTTTTGATATTCACATTGCAGTGATAAACTAAAAATGACGACCCAATATAAACCTCAGCTACAAGAACGTGTTGCTTCCAAAGCAAGAAACCACCACCCCCTCACTCCATCTTCAAAAAAGACTGAATATGAATTCACCAGAACAGTAATAACAATACAAAAGTGAAGCAAAGAATAAAGAGAATGAGTATGAGTATTTTGAAATAACATTATTCAACAAGACCGGGCAATTTCTGCACCTAAAATACTGCAAGAATTTATAGTTAAACAAACAAACAGAAAAAGCCCACAACCCAAGTCACAATGCTATTTTTAATATCCTTCGTTGCCTAGGAAGTTTAATTATCAAAGAGATTCACAACATTAATTAGCAATGTCTTTACTGTAAAACAAGATTAGAAACCACGCTAACACTTTTAAAGTTATCATTGCGGCATTAGGCTATGGTCTCAAGAAAACTTTTTTTTTGACAATTTATTATAATTTGTTTCTCAAAAAACAGTAATTTCAGTATTGACAAATACAAGAGGAAAACTGTTCCAAGTTCATGTAGTTACAATGCAAAAATATTAATTTGCACACTAATAGAGCAAGTGGGTCAGAATTTTCTTGCATATTTACTAAACTACTTTATTATTTTTATGTAGATAAGTCTGCACGGACAGAAAAAGTGTGTAATGACTAAGAATAACACTAATAAGATAGTTGAGAACAACTTTTTTTAAAAACCATCATTCCTAGTGTTTAATACTTGATAAGTTCCAGCAGTTACTAAAAGTTGTAAGATTTTTTTTTTGGTAGAATCATCTAACGAGGACAGCATTTCATCTGATAATATCAGCACAAGTAAAAGAATTCAGCTGAGCTGACAGATATTAATTGCTCAGTTTTATATTCAATTTATTTGCAAAAAGTGCGGAAAAAAGTTAGTATCTTTGTTGATACCTAAAGTTATTCAGTGTCTTTGTGTGTGTTTAGTACAAGGTCTAACGTGATGAGGCAGTTCTGCCTCTGAAGGATGCCAGCTGCACTCTCTCCATTGCTACCTGTGCATTATGTGCTTCAGCAGTGCAGGCTGTTCATGAAACTCTTCTATAGGTAGAT